AATTTTGTCATATATGTCCCAATATGTCCAAGACCAATTTAAAGAAATTTAAAATTATTTAAAATAAAAGCAACAGATACAACAAACTAAACTGAACCCAAGAAACAAACGACAAACAATGAAAAACAAAACAACAATCACCATGATTCTTACAACAAAGTCAGTCCATTTTCGGGTTAAGTCTATAGTCAATGAGAGACAATACATTGAGACTGAACTGTGTTGATGTTTTCTATATATTAGTGTAATATGTATTCCATTCCAGCTCTGGACGATCTCCACAGGTTTAGGACCTACCAGGCCCCCGTCTCCCAAAAGTCTCTCCCAGTCCCTGATCCTGTAGGTCATCCATACGTCCCAGTTGTTTGACTGTATCCTGTTAAAAAAACAAATCTCGAGAACCAGTTTGAAACATGGAATTGCATACGTATTAACAAGATATGAACAATATATAATAATCATATCTTAAATCTCATTTTAATTTGAAACCGATAAAAGCATTAAACATCTCATAATCCCAACCAAAGTTCTCTCACATCAAATAAGAAATAACCATCTCATTTAATTTCAATAGTATGTTCATCATATCCCTATCTAAATATACTACATGTACATTCATGGAAGTATGATCACTATGTCACTAGATACCATTACTACAAGTTCTTGTCCCCACATAGGATAGGTTTTGTTCGTTCCTAGCCTATTCTTTGTGACATGACTGATAAAATAGAGATAACATATATGTGAAATATTAATAAGCTGCTTATTATCAGTACTCATTTTAGCAATGGAAGTTACCAGCATTATTCTATCCCTCCCTTACATAACAGTCTGAATGCATGACCTTTTTACGGACACCTTGTATAACAACTAATTCACAGTGATTCGAAAAGGTGTTTTATTTCATCTTGCTCTTTGTTGAAATGTCCCCTTTAAACTGTGTACTAATAACAAAAATTGGTCGACTTTTGGCTGTTTTCTTAATGCATGCCTTTTTGTAAAACTGTCAGTTAACACTGATTTCACTTGCATTATTCTATCCCTCCCTCACATAACCAGAATCCGAATGTATGATCTATTTGCAAACACCTTGTAATATTTGATAATGACTCAGGAAGGTGTTTTAACTTGCTCTTTGATCAAATAGCCATGTGAAACAGTGTTCAAATGGCATTCGTTAAGTTATCAATTAATACTGATTTTAATGATATAGAGAAATCTGTTTCCTCTCTAAAGCGTTCTGGTGTCTTCACGATCACCGTCAACCCCCTCTACTCCCTGCCCGACCCCCTGACCTCCCTCCCCGTCCCTGCCTCCAGAGCCCGTCCTCAAGTTGTGGAGATCGATCTTGGTGAAGAATCCAAGCAGCCCCAGTCGTGCTCGGCTGTCCTTGTGTCTTGTGTGAAGTACATGTTCCAGAGTTTCTTCACACAGAGATAGACTTTGGATGTGTGTGTTGTGTTGTGTGAACTGCTAGTTTTTGGACCTTTAGGATAATCTGTTTTGACTGTTTGGGCTAATTGTTGATAATATATTGTTTCATATCATATAAAATCATATAGTTAAAACGCATGTTAATTACGTTGTTGCCTCAAGAAAGGGTCTTATACATTCGTATTTTACTCCAGGAACAGACCATTTTATATTCAGGTGTTGGGTAATGCTGGGGTTAGGATATTATGGAAACAAATCAGCTGGCCCAGAAAATTAAAGAAACATATACTTATGTTACAAATAGTTATGTTATAAGTCAACAAAAAACAAACAACAGTTATCTCCCACAAGAGTTACATTGTTGAACTGTGGTTCCCTTAAGAAAATGTTCAGTTGATTATTGGTTTGAAGTTCAAAATCCCAGAACCCCTCCTCCCCCGAAAATTAAATGGTCAGTTCCAAATGTCGGTTCCTGAATTTTGCCTCCACCCCAAGACATCTGTCATTTGTAGTAAGTACTCGGTGTCATTTCAACCAGTTAGACGAAGTTATATTTTACGGAATTTCTTTACATACATATTTCACCATGACAGTATACTGTTATCTTTAATAACAAACATCACACCAAATTTACAAACATACAGTAAACTACTCATTAAAAGTCAGATATCACTTCTTGCTACCACTGAACAAAGTGTATTTTGAAAAAGACAACTAAGATTTGATTTCAATGCGATTGAATGGAAGTCGCAGACACGGAGAGGAACGCGAAATTGACAAAACTGAAATGACTATGTTGTATCTCAAAGATTCTCAGAATAAAAATGAATCGTTCCAAACGTATCTCGTTTTTATCTTCCATCATAACGTTTTACATATGATCTCTCTGTGAAGATCCGGGTTAGAATTGATCATCAGTAACCCGTGCTTTCCGTAAAGGCGACTAACGGGATCGGGGGGTTAGACTCGCCGACTTGATTGACGCAAGACATCGTATCCCAATTGTATAGACCGATGCACATGCTGTTGATCACTGGATTGTCTGAATCGGACTCGAATATTTACAGCTTGAATATTGCTGAGTGCGCCGCGCCGTTAAACAACAAACAAACAAAACATCCACATAAACTAGTGCCCAAAAGAAACAAAACACCACAAAATATTACATAAAATATCACAAAAATAACAATGTAGTGATAAAACCATACTGAGCCATGTCACACACGTACAGACCCATCTTTTCCAGGAACAAACGGCGAAAAAAGTTAACGAATCGCATAAACGTCACAAAAAATCTAAACCGGATTACCGTATAAGACAACAGACTGTGTACCGGCGACTAATTGGATTCAAGATGTGCCGCAAGCTTAACGAATTCACGACAGGAAATACATCACGGTTTGTGTGAAATATATGGTAACCTGGCATTCTTCCCGCACATGTGCACAAGTTTCAAAGGACAGTTGGTTATTCATTCCTATGGCCCGGTAGTAATTTCAAATCCCATCCCAGATGGCCTAGCAACCTTGGGCCAATTTGTAGGGACCCAGATTAAATGGACGGGCAAAGGGAGAAAGAAAACTTACTCCAGCTGTTTGCGATCATGGCGAGTATGAGACACTATAATACTGACAAATGTATGGTAGACAAATTTAGGGACAGGATTGTGTCTAAAGTGTCCCTCAAAGACGTTTTGTGATGCAATAGACAACACATTCTGAAGTTAATTGACCGCCTCCATGGTGTAGTGGTTAGAGCGGCCGCATTTAGAGTTCTATTCTCAAAGGGGAGAGCGGATGGTCGCGGGTTCGATCCCCGACCGCGTCATACCAAAAGACGTTAAAATATGGTACTTGTTGGTCCCTGCCTGGCGCTCGGCATTAATGGGTACAACAAGGACTGGTCGGCTCGGAGTCAGTATAATGTGTCTGAGTGGGGTATTCATGCTTCACTGCGGCATGGTATCTCAGTGGGCTAGCACTATAAAACCAGCTTCAGTCTGGGCTAGTACAAGCAGCCGCACATACACACGCATGCACGTCGTCATATGAGCGAAATATTCTCAAGCACGAGGTTAAACCCAATTTCACCTCACCTCACCTCACCTCACCTCTGAAGTCAATTCATGTTGCCTAACAACCATTAGATTTCTGCAGTTTGAAATTAATTAATGTTTGGATGGAAATATTTTAGTAGTTACTAAACTTTGAATGAAAATAACATGTTATCGAATTATCAGCTTATGTGGTCATAACATTTTGAAAGCCAAATAGCATCGTCATTTGTTTCAGTTGATATCACATAAACGCATGGCAGTTTGTAGTCGAACTATTCGTGATGTAACTGGTGTTGCCCGAGGATGTATTGTGGTACATGATTATCCTGGTGTACTTATTACGTATTAATTATTTTCTTGTTTCAGTTCACAAAAATTGAGTAACAAACACTCGTAAAAGATTTACCCATGTTTGAATCCCACAGAAGTGGAGGTCGCAAAACAGAGAGGACGGCAGAAATTACAAAACTGAACCGAAATGTACAATATCTCAAACAGTCTCTGAATAAAAATAAATCGTTTCCGACATATTGTCTTTTTTTATCTTTTCATCATAGATGTTCGGGTATCGACATATTATTTACCGGTGATAGTCCGGGTTAGAATTGGTCAGAGTAAGTAAGAGGCGACCAACGGGATCAGGTGGTCGGGCTTGGTCGACACGTTCCATTGTATCCCCGTTGCGTAGATCGATGTTCATGATGTTTATCACTGGATTGTATGGTCCAAACTCGTTATTTGCAGATTGCCGGCATATAGCTGGAATATTGCTGAGAGTGGCGTTAAACAACGAACAAACAAACAAACAAACATGTAACCTGTCCGAACCCTCTAAGGACTAAGAGGAGCTGGAACAATATTGGACTCCCCCTGGGGATCATCAGTATAAGCCTGTGGCAACATCCATCCTTGATGCTGAAGTTGTACTTGACACATGTCCTCGTATCCCAGTGGCGTAGATCGATGCTCATACTGTTGATCACTGGATTGTGTGGTCCAGGCTCGATTACTTACAGACCGCAGCCATATAGCTGGAATATTGAGGGGAGTGCAGCGAAAAACTAAACCAGAGGGTTTGTTGTTGAAGAATTACACCTAAATCCCCATTTCTGTTCGATCCTTGTGTATTCTTTCACAAAGAAGCTCAATATATGTTTATATATCAACAAAGTTTATTTTAACATTGATGTAAAACGCATGAAGGAAGCACAATGTGTCAAATGTATCTTTGAGTATTTGGTAATGGTTGCACAGCCCACTTCAAGTGTTGGTAAAACACATCAACAATAACAAAAATCCTCCCTGCTATGCACATTCACATGGAAGACACGTAGGTACGCACGCACGCACGCACACACACACACACACACACACACACACACACACACACGCACGCAGAAACTCCTGTAAAGTGTATACATGTTTATGCTCAAGCACCTCTGCCTTACATTTGAAGGCTATTCACTTATGTAAATAAGTATGAGTTCTTTAGGTCCGATTTGATCTTTTGCACCCCTTTCCATAACAATCACAAGTTATAACAGAAGTCTTGGTATTCCACTGCTGCTTGGAATCACCGATTGCTTGATGACATAGTTTTCTGATTCCTCCCAGACCATGTTAGTTTGAAAACAACTCCGCATCAGGGTTATCTGTGAGTTTAGTCTGTTTAGTTGGGGACTAAGCTGACAGCAAAGTTCAACCCCCTCAAAGCGCTCCACCCTGGACAAAATGGCGGTAGATGTTCGGGTATCGATATCACCATCAACACTAATACACAACTAGGTTCGTTCCTCTTCCCACAATACAGGATAACCACAGTTCGACAGGAGCACCTCCCGACAAAATCTCGTCCTGAATGAACATTTGTGTCATCACAGCACGTCTTCTGTAACAGGTTTGATCGTCTGTATCAGGTAAAAGTGCCTGTGTCTGCAGCCTTTCATGACGTCACTTCCTGCTCCATGACCTTCAGAGGGCAATACAACTTCCCAGCACGAAGATCCGTGAGACGTTCCATTACCATGTTACCCAGTCGGGTCAGTTTGATGGGTACCTGAGCAACCTTCTGATCCATCCCGTCCTGGAATACCTACAGGTACACAAAACAGAGCATTATCTCAAGTTTCAACGACAAACGTTTGTGTGCAAATCATGATCACATAACACACCAACTACATCCTGACGATTTTAAACCGTGTTACTTTAGTTCCATGTCTATAAGTGACACTAATATGCCAGTTTGAATGAGAACAAAACAAAATGATCCCAAAGTTATGAATAAACAAAACATGAAACAGTCCGAGGCTCATTTTGTTATCCAGTAACCAATCTTTTTAATGAAAAGTTGCTAGTAAATTCCAAGTTTCCATATATTTTGGAATTCAGCAATATTGTGTGCCAAATTTAGGCCTCATCCATGACAGTCCTTTAGTGACAGAGGTGATCACGTGTTTAAATGTTCATCGCCAAATCAAGCACTAAAGGAAAAAAAATTGGCAAATAATTCGACATTAATTCCAACTGTATCACAACTAGTTTTGTCTGGACCGATAAACCCCTGACTGGTTTAAGAGGAATGCTCTAGCAATCGGGACACATGTCACAATGTGGCACATTCAGTTACAGTCATTCTACCTGATATATATATGTAATTCAGCCACTTCTCTACCCACATATCTTGTTCAAATGTAACCAAGTAAAGTGAATAAAAATACTTTACAAAAATAAAATTCAGCCATTTCATTACATACTTAAGCCACTCCGTATTAACACTGAAGTTGTTTTACACAATGTAATGTAGGCACATCTCACCCGTATTTCAATGTTTCCGGCCAATCGTTTACATACCTGTTCCATTCTGGACACCAAGAATCTCAGCGAAGACACCATCTGATACAACCTCGGGCTACACGATGTCTGGTCAAACAACACCGCCGTGTATTCCACAACATGGTGGACCTACAAACAGTAAAGGGTTATATTGTTATAATTAAGGTAATAGCTCTGACACCGGGCTCAAATCCAGTATGAGATACACTTGTAACTAACTTTAATCAGAGTATATCTGATGATATTTACGAAAATATTTCTTTCCCATTACTAACTCACAAGTCTTCAGTTCTGAAGCAGCATCACTTCGAAAGCAATATCATCCATTATACCATCTGAGGACAGCAGAATTTGACTAGTGTTTATTTATTATACCAGACTATTAATTGCACTCTTGTCTACCTCAAGTATTAGGTTGAGTGCCCAGTCCAGCAAATGGAGCTCTCCCCTCAAGTCCGTATTCTCCAAGATCTGGTGCAACTCCACCAAGTCACGTGACTTCCGGCCTGGCTGATTCCGGGATGGTTCGGACTGAGATCTCTGATGTTTGAAGACCAGTCCCTGAAAAAATGTACCCAATTAATCTGTGTTGTCTTAGAAAATCCATTCCAGTGAATGCTCAGTTTCTAACCCAAAGCAGGGAGAATATGTCACATGCTGTATGACATGATGAGATTGAAGTGACTGACAGCGCTTTCACTGGAAATAAGGATTTTATCACATGTGTCATCCAAGTCAGCGAGCCTGACCCCCGAACCCGTTAGTAACATGGGTTACTGAAGATGAATTCTAATCCGGATGGGTCTTCACAGGTCACGTTTTGTGAAAGTTTATGGAGTACAGTTTGGGCAGTATTTCATTATATCAGAAAAACACGCCACATTGGTGAGAACCAAATAGAAACAGGGAATACGTAAGGCCCATAACGGGCTCGACACAAACTTGGCTGATGCATGTCATCTGTTCCCAGCTAAGTAAAAACTTGATGTCAATAACTGGTCACATCCAGACCGTCATCATAGCAGAGTCCAGTGTACAACGATTATCTTACCTTAAGTTTACGCTTCATCTTAGTCACGTGATGTGTCATGTCATGACGCCGTGACACCCCCTGTTTCTGCCTGCTTGACAAGGCCAACATGTAGGCTCGGCTCCTGGACTCGGGGTGCTCAGAAATGCTCTCAAAATATGCCTCCCGCATAAGCTGCAAGAGAGGTAAAGGTCACATACTAAGAGCAGGCTATCACAAGGTCGTCTCTTATTTACTAAACCACATTTCTAACATACTACTACTAAATCATCTGAAAGGGGAGACAACTAGAGTTAACGCCATTTGATATCACCCTTCTGTCTGTCAAACATACAGAGACACAAGAATCCATCGTACCCAATAAAATTAAACTTTTTAAAAACATCCAATTTCAACAAAATAATTCTTTTTTTATTGAAACATGGAGTAGCACTAACTCCTCCTCCGACTTCCATGTTTATTTACTGTTCAACGCTGCACTTAGCATTATTCCAGCCATATGGTGGCGGTCTATTAATAATCGAGTCTGGACCAGACAATCCAGTGATCAACAGCATGTGCATCAATCTACGCAACTAGGCAACTGACTGAGCCTGACAACCCGATCCCATTATTTGCCTCTTACGACAAGCATGGGTTGCTGAGGACCAATTCTAACCGGGTCTTAACGGGTTTCTACCATGTTTGAGCCCCCACCTTTGAGTCCTCGTCATCCTTCTTGGAGTAACATCCCGAGTTGTTGTGATCGTCCCAGGGCTGGAAACACTGCCAACAGAAACTGAAGCCACATGTGCAGACCATGTTGGGACAACCTCCGTTCTTCTGGATGAAGTGCTTACACTTCGGGCACCGTTTACCTTTAACTTGAGGACCTGGCGACCATGACAACATTTTGTCATCACCTGTCAAAATAGAAACACACATAGAAAACAATGGAAATTAAGGGTGTATCCCTCAAATTGTTAGCCTGGGCCCCGTTCCTTGAAGCGATCGTCGCGTTTAGATGATTATACTCCCATACTTTAACATTGACTTACGACAGTCGTAGCTCTAAGATGATCGTAACTCCCATACTTTAACATTGACTTACGACAGTCGTAGCGCTACGATCGCTTTGAGGAACAGGGCCCAGAACTTGAATGATTAGACCTAACAGCTGTGACACGTGTGTAAAATGGGAGTGTTTTGTTTAATTAGTTTGATGTTTAACGCCACACAATATTCCAGTTATATGACGGCAGTCTGTAAATAATCTTGTCTGGACCAGACAGTATAGTGATCAGCATCGATCAATTAGGAGATAAACATCATGTGTTGGCCAAGTTCCGGGTGTTATTGAGTATTTGAAGCACGGGAATTCATTTGGAACCGACGTCGTCAGCCGGAGGTTTCAAACGAAATATTCCCGTGCTCCAAATGGCTGTTGGCTGTTTCCCATGGTAGCATCTGGAACTGCTCATTTGTGACGTCATTCGGACTTTACGTCACAATATGATTTTAATGATGTCATCACAGCTGACGACACGAACAATACAATGGTGTGAGCGATGTTTGCATGTATTAATACGCAGCGAATTTCCGGGAATCGAATACCATTTGATCACGTTTTTCAACCAATCAGATTAAAAAACACAGTGACTTTTGGTTTACAATATGCAATTGGGATACGATGAGATCTCAACCTAGTCAGTGAGCCTGAGTGAATGAGTGGGTATGGTTTTATACCGCTTTTAGCAATATTCCAGCAATATCACACGGCGGAACACCAGAAATTGGCCTAACCTATTGTACCCCCTGAGAATCGAACCTGGTCATCAGCGAGACAAGCGGGCGCTTTAACCATTAGGCTATCACACCATAAAGGAAGATAATGATTGTGTAGCAGGTGGACTGAACGAGGTTTCGGTTTCATTACAGTGGCCTGTGATTATGCCTCGACTACCTTTGGTTAGTGCTTTAGCACACAGCACATGCAGTCAACTCTTGACTAACTAATGGTCGAATATGTGAGCAACTCGCTACGAGAACGATGACCCAAAAGGCACAATTTGATCCACACATACTGAGGACCTGTGACCTTACTTCTTACATATACTACTCACACTTTGCTAAGGATCACAAAAATTCACAACTTTACTTAAACATAGATTTATAATTTGAAAATGTATCCATTTAAAACTGGATAAATAATGATATGGTAACCCCTCTTTAGGCAAAGCTAACTGTATGCGCCTGATACATGAGTAACCATAAAAAATGGTTTTCATGGCACCAGTCAGCCACTTTGCATATCATGGAACGAGTCATTGACAAGTACACAACACATGTCAATAGCAGGTATGGGATCCACAAGATGAAATGACATACTGAAACCTAGGATCCATGCTTACAATAAGCTTCGATATTTAAACCAAATTAGACCCCACCATAGTTTTCTGTTGAATCAATGATTTGATCCTTACCAAAGTGTGAATAGTAGAGTATTTTAATACAGGGGTGGAAATAACCCATTGCCCGACGCCCGAGTCCAGTGTTTTTTTCTGTCGGCAAACAAATTTGTATATCACACTGTACCGGTGTCCAGTTGATATTCCAACGTTAATTATGTTGTTTATTTAAAAAATCAGCAAGAAAATGGCCGGTATAGTGGAAAAATTATCAGGGCAAGTGATTTTACATGTGCCACTGTACCAGAGTACACGAGTAATAACAATGACTAATACAGCGACAGTGTAGCGAGAGACCGATGTGTACGTACCGAAATGTTTTAGGTCAGTAACGTATCTGGCCATATTGGAGCATTCAGCAGGCCAGTGTGGATGACCACGACACTGGACACAGAAGGTGGCGCCACAGCCGCACTGGGCACATCCGGTATCAGCGCCACCTGTAACAGACATCATTTAAATCAGTCGAGTGACACATCAAAGTGAAGAGATATTTGTAGAATTTCACCTGATGTTACTCTGAAATTGAAGTTTATCAACGGTAAATAGTGAATATATCACATTAGTGACATAAGTGACAAAGTGAGTTTAGTTTTATGCAACACTCAGCAATATTCCAGCAATATGGTGCCGATCTGTAAAAAATAGAGTCTGGACCAGACAATCCAGTGATTAACAGCATGAGCATCGATCTACGCAATTGGGATACGATGACATGTGTCAACCAAGTCAACACGCCTGACTACTTGATCCCGTTAGTCGCCTCTTACGACAAGCATGGATTAATGAAGATCAATTCTAAACTCACTCATTCACTCACCATAAGTAGGCACTGTGTACTTAGTTTTAAAAATAAACGTGTTGCAATTGACATTGATGATAATGTGTATAGTGAACTGTTGTCCTGTTATATATTAATGGCGACTTACCTTCGAGAAGAGATACAATGCGAGAACATCCGGGTCTCGGGCACCATGACTTGGACTCGGATGTAGAAATCTCCATATCATCCAGGCGAGACATGTACAGCTTCATTTGGCTCATGCTCATCAGGGATGCCAGCGTGCCCACATCCAGTCGGCTTTTACAACCAAATTCCTAAAAATCAAAAGAAAGGCATTTGAAACGTACAGTTTTTTTATATAAAAAAATATGCACACTAACTGATTTGTCCCTTGAAACAGAATAGGGCATCATTCAGGAATGACTGTGTTTGTTTCGGTTCTTTGGGTGTGATGAGAGAGTATGGTTTTAAGCTGCTTTTCAGCAATATTCCAGCAATATCATGGTGGGGTACACCAGAAATGGGCTTCACGCGTTCAAGTACCAAAACGCTTTAACCACTAGGCTACCCCACCGCACTTTCGGTTCCTTGAAGTATGAATTGAAAAACAGATGCGCAAACCAGTTCAGCCAATCAGAATCGAGGAATACTGAATGAACAGTACGAAAATTTAAAGAATCTTTTTGAGCATACGCGTAGTTATTCCATACTACAGCACAAAGATAATACGTATACCACAGCTGTTCGAATCATTCATATTAATCATTACCAAAATATCCAATATTTTTTTCATAAAACTGGATGTAGAATTGCGTTGGACATCTTATTTCACACAGTGGCAGGCATTAAAGATAACCAGGTTATCCCCTTAGTGACGGTACCCATGAAGAATTGGCCCCGGTTAGAATTGGCTAGAACTGGGTCTTCAGCAACAGATCGGTGCTTGTAACGGTTGAATCGTTCTTTAACCGGCTGACTAGGTATACGTACTGGGCATGTGGTGTGAACAGATCCACTCTCAAGACTGGCTTTCACGTGGCCCTTCCAACATGTATGGCAAAACCAATGCCCACACTCGGTGAGCGCCATTCCTCTTGTGTCACGTGATGACATGTCTATGACGTCATAGCAAACACTACAACAGTCAGGAATGTCGGTAACCTTGGAAACCTGAATCTGTAACAAAAAAACGCATCAGTTAGTTTAATAACAATAAGGTGATATAATATACTCATGCCAATAATGGTTGTCACCCCCTTCAATTTATTTAATTGGAGAGGGGGTGTGGGATGGGGTAGTGAGGTGTGTGTGGGGTTGGGGTGGGGAGGGGTTTGACAACCATTATTGGCATGAGTATATGTCAGTATTCCGTAGAAATGGATTCTCTTCTTAAGTCTCGTGACGAATTTCAATGTTATTGAATATAATAAAATTGAGATCACGATGAAATAAGTTTTAAAACATGATCTAATCTGGCGACACAAGTAGAGTGGTAGGCAGTCTCTTTATGTCCTCTCTCATTAATAAGTTTCATAATGCTAAACATTAGAATTGTTATCTCCTCGCACTCTGAACACAGCTTTGGCGACTTTCGAAAAACACATTATCTTGATTCTATTATGAACGTACCTGTATTGCTCTGGACTTGACGGCAGGAAACGCGGAAGGGAGATAACTCTCAGACTTAGGCCAGCTCAGGAGCTTCTTCAAAGTTGGGAAGTTTGGATCCGGTGGTTTGTGATCTTTCAGTTTTGTGCTGAGACAGAAAAGAGCAAAAACTATGGTAATACACAAGATATGTTGTTTTGTTGTTTAACGCCACACTCAGCAATATTCCAGCTATATATGGCGGGCTGTAAATAATCCAATGTGGACCATACAATCCAGTGATCAACAGCGTGAGCATCGAGAGATCATTTATCACTATTAAAAATGATCATCCGAACATTGAAGCAGATAGTTTATGTTCGGTAATAATTATATGAGCATTTCTATTTATTATCATTTTCGATTTATATTTACAATGAATGTGGAACACGCTTGTTGCGAGACTACCTTGTGCTTGTGTGTTCTTTGATCAGATCACACATGCAGTTGACAAGCGTCAGGGGAGACCACTCTTCCGTCACCTCAGCAGCCTTCATCCACAGGGATTTGTTCAGATCTGCATCAGACTCCATAAGGAAGCTGCAGTATACAGGAAATACATATCAGTTGTGCAGCCTTTGCAAACATAACCTCTTAACATTTTATCATTTCAAGTTTGATCTATATCCACAACAGGTATATCATTGAAGGAAATACTGCTTATAGCAAAAGCCAACAAGTTAAGTTTTATACCAAGTGAATGTTGTACCATGAACTAGCTAATGTAAAAAAAAGCCAACAAAAACTAGCTAATGTAGATATTTTGATTTTCTGAAGCTCTTGGTCTTGATATATTGAGTACAATCTTGATTACTTAAATTTAGGTTTGGAAGTAGTGATATAAAAGGAGAATACTAGCGTAAAAAACAACTGTTCATAGGGGTAAAAACATTCTAAAAGTCAACTTCCGTGATTAGAATTGAACAAAAGGTTGGTAAATTCGAAATAAACACATAGAAACACATAGAAATGGTATGGTTTGGTGCAGAATGTAAGTGAATCAGTACGAATGAGTGTCTATATCAGTGTTAAATTTTTTTAAATAGAATATCTGAGTCCATAACATCATACATTTAATATGAACCTCAGCAACAGACTTATTATGCATAACAATAGCTTTTTGAACACAGGCATAATCTTGTGTCTTCTAAAGTTGCCTTTTCTTTTCTCATCTGATCTGGGCAAAGCACTACCTTGGATGTCTGGTTTTGTATGTAACAGGGACTTAACTAAAATATTAATTACGAAAAATACATCAGTGTGTAGCTTACCTAAATTTGCCGTCACACTGTTCTTCAAACAACAGAAAGCCAGCTGTCGTTACACTACAAGCTTTGCGTACGAATGCGGTGAAGTACTTCTTGCGTTTACGTCTCATCCGATGATGCACACGTTGTGATAAAATGAAGTGAGGAACTTCGCGGAAAGCTCCTGTCATGTCCAACAGGAAACGACGTGGGTGACATGCGCATTCGAGGTACCGTTCACCAAAGATGGCAGTCAACGCTTCCGGTGCAACATCATCTGGTTTGAACACCACAGTGACACTATCTTTTTCCGGAACAATATTGACACCATCTGCTTCAGGAACGACACTGACACCTCCTTCTTCTGGCATAACTTTGTCCATCTCATCTATTACTTCCGTTGTTCCATCTGTTCCACTGACTTCTCCACCTTTCAATGCAAATTCATCCTTGTCAATGTATCTGATTTTACCCTTATTTGTTCCGGATGGCAAGTTTGTAGGGTTACGAGTTCTTTTCCTACGGAAGCAAGGTGCTTTCTTTACAAAAAGATCTTCAAACATAACATCCTTAATGAATTTTGGATGTTCATCAGTCTCATCATCCTGTACATCAAAAGAAGGCTGTTCCTCCACATCACCATCATCTGAATCCCAAGACAGAACTGGGCGTCGTTTCATGCCACTTATTGCATTGTCTTCGCTCTTTTTCTCAGGTTTGGCAGCTACTTGGCTTACATCTGGAGCTCCCCAATCCGACCAATACGCTGAAAGAGTGCAATAGATGATGCATATGTACGTGGGATAGTTTAATATGACCGTCAAGCTGGAAAATACACACGCATTGTTACCTGTATGCCGCTAGTACATGAATTTTGAAACTTATTTGAAACCCATCCGGAATTGTACATGTCAAAATTGGTGGTCATCAGAGGCTGCTTAATGGAATGAAAGGTCAAGCATTATTCAAACTCTGTGCACGGAGTGTTCCGTTCAGGTGATTTGGTCAATTAGTGTCGTTGTTTTTTAATCTGTTGCCATTATGAATTAATGATTAACATGTAGTTTCAAAGCTGGAATCTATTTCAAGCAAATGTGACACTTGCCTAATGTTTAAAAACAATATTCATACCGAATTCTATCTATCATGTTTAAATGTAAAAAAGAATAGAGTAAGTTTAACACGATTCCGATGCTCATATCAAGAACTTGTGGCCTTTTGAGTACCGGAATAAAAAAAATAATAAAAAATTATTTTTTTTAAAATGGCATATGATAAATAGGAAATTTATTTTAGAAAAAGAATATAATATGCTTGTTCATTTGTTAAGTGACTGAACATAAAATGATTTATTGCATAATGAACTAAAGATGAATACTCTGCTGACGACAAATATATTTTTATTATTTTGGTGTGCCCAAGACTACATTACATTGCTCACATGTGTGAGTAGCCTACAGCAAATCCGCCTGTTAACTCTAATGCCAGTAATCCCCTTCCGGGCTTACATAAATCTACCTCGACCTCTGATGACCTTATCTGGCATGGCTTACTTCCTATATAGGTTTTCCGATGTTATGGATTGTTGCTTATTAAATAACCCCTGGTTTGTCAATAAAACTGGAATTTATATTAGCAGGCGCTACAAATATCACACATCAATATATGCAGTCACGCCTACGTTAGCATTAACACAATCAACTGTTCTGCAGTAAAAAGTATTGTTCCAAAGTCAATGAAATAATCAAATCCATTAAAATATACCAAACCAATATATCCGCCGATTGCAAATATCAAAAAGACAGAGTAAGGTAACAGTCGACCTTTTCCTTAAAGAAATCTGAAATGTGCGGCTATTCTTTGAACTGTGAGTGAGTGAGTGAGTGAGTATGGTTTTACGCCGCTTTTTTGCAATATTCCAGCAATCATCACGGTGGGGAACACCAGAAATGGGCTTCACACATTGTACCTATGTGGGGAATTGAACCTGGGTCTTCGGCGTGACGAGCGAACGCTTTAACCACTGGGCTACCCCACCGCCCCCTTTGAACAGTACTTTGATCACCTTAACAATGAGTGGGCGAGTTTAGTTTTATGCAGCTGCACTCAGCAATATTCCAGCTATATGGTGGCGGTCTGTAAATTATTGAGTCTGGACCAGACAATCCATGCAGTGATCAACAGCATGGGCATCGTTCTACGCAACTGGGGTACAATGACATATGTGTCAACAAAGTCAGCGAGCCTGACCACCTGATCCGTTAATTGCCTCTTGCAACAAGCATGGGTTGCTGAAGATCAATTCTATTAAACCAGGATCTTCATGGGTATCACGGTACCAACATTCAAGGCCTCATGTATCTATCTATTCGTGGAAAATACTAAATAAGTTTATATACGTCAACATGATTACAATACTTGTTCGATGATCCCCACAAGTACAGATTGGTGCTAAGAAACTTAGAAACATGATCAGGGATCGATGTGTGGGATTCAAACCCAGGATTACTAAGTGTTTTTAGAGAATCTTACTTGAAGCCGGTACCGGTGTCACATTTGTGTACTCTGCGCGTCTACGTCTCCGCCTTGAAGTCACCGTAGCCGATGACGTTCTACATCGCCCGTGAGGCTGAACTACCTCTATCCGTATTTCAGGTTTGTCGGGGGGCGTATCACTCTCCGATGTAGGGGGTGGAACAATTTTTGGTCCCGTTGTCTTCTTTCGTTTGCCGTTCGTTTTTTCTTTCGGCTTTCGGAGAAAAGAATCGGCATTGAAAAAACACGAACCGCCCTGGAAAGTTTTTTCACAGCCTTTACTCCCTGTAATTGATTCGCAGTTAGCCGCCCCGTTCATCCAGAGTCTCTCTATAACATACAAATTGAACTCTTCCTCGTTGTAAACATTATTTTCCATTTCCTCTTTTAGAGCCTCAATGATTTTCCAGCGACCCTTTTTGCTGAGTGACAGATTGACATTCTGGGTGGCAGTTTTCCATGAAGAAAGACCAGTCATGTTCAATACTCTGTCGACACCGGCGTCGTCGATACCGTTGGTGTTGACGGTGAAGAGGCCGGGCAAGCGTCCGTCTCTCCCTGGTTGAGGAGCATGGTTACATTTCGTGTTGTTCATGTCGATGTTAAATATTGACAGCTCACGGTAGCGACACTTTAAGCACGTCCGTACCCAGTCGTGTTCACATTCTATATGGTGAGAATATCCCTGCGAACAGTTTATATCAGCTAACATTAGTCTAGTGAAACGATGGCGCAATACCTGTTTCACGACCAACCATCATAACCAGTGTACAGCTAATGTCTATTTATAGAGGGGAATCCCCTTTATCAGCGGTTAACCGTCTGTCAAATCCAGAGTAAATATGGCCCAGTGGATGTTTGAGACGTGTTCTTACTGTCGAACATTCTGGGACAGAAACACTGTCGATATCAGCTTATGAATCACAACACAGAATCATCAAGTATGCTATTAAATTAACATACTTGCACAACGCATGGCAATAAATTCACTCATTTAGTGGATATATCAACTTTCAAATTAAGAAAAACAATTAAGGCATGCCAGTTAGTTCGGTTTAGTTCTATTATGTATCCTATATAGAAAGTGCAATTTTGTTTTTTTTTCAATCCAGCAAAAATGTGAGGGTTGTTTTTCTTTCATTGACGTAGCCTCCCCGCAGCCTTATTGCCACACTCTACGATCATGATGTATGTAGCAGGCACTGATACCGAGCTTGTGCAATTTACCCTATGAAGACAGACGCCCAGTCAACCTTCAGCGAGCAAGTCGCAGCACGCGCCGATGAGGAAACCCTTTCAATCACGTGACGTAAACAACAATGGCGGTTATAACTATATTTAGCTTTCCGTGTGTGTAAACGTTGTTCTGTCATGGACCTAGAATGTTTGGGACCAGATTTCTGACTGTACCTTACTCAAGTATACGTATTGGTCTATGTAAAGAAATATGTTTATCGCATTGTCAAAGAAGCAGAATAATAAGACACATCAGTAAAACCGTTGCAGCCAACCGAATATTTGACGTTCCTGGTGAAAGTGAAGGTGAGGGGACGATTAGAAAGTATCCTTCACTAACACACGCCGATTCGGGACATATTTTCCCCCCAACAACTGAAGTCGTGTTTTTTAACAGTCGGGACCCTAACAGTCTTTTATGACCAGTGAAACAGTGACCCTCTCAATTATTTCGATCTTCATCATACTGGCGTATGTAAAACTAAGTTATCTTCCTTTCGCGCTCAGTCACTCATTACAAAAAAACACTGAATTCAACTATGGTTGTCGTTTCCCTCGCACTAACAGCTGTTTCAGTATTTTAGTTGCCCCAAGTCGATTGTAGATCTCATGCTTCAACATAGACTATATGTGGGAAGCTGTCAGCTGTCAGAGAAATCAGAATCCCTGATTACAAACGTTAGGTGCCCTTATATACATCTATATCTGACACATCTTATCGCAACTTTCATTCTCTGATCCAAGGGATGGGACAGAGCTGGGGTAACATAGCTACTCCACATTACCCTGACACAACTAACACTAGTAATGATTGTAAATTTTGTCAGATGTATGCATATATTATGTTTCCAAATTTCTTTCTTGAGAGATATCAAGTTTTGGGACACCTGCACTTTTTTATGATGCTATCAGGTATCAAACAGATTCTTTATTCACAACAATGATTACAGAGATGACTGATGGAGCTAACTCTCTATGCGATTAATCATCAGTTATTATTATGTTGCAAAGATTTAGCAGATGTAGGTAGAGACTATGAACTATATATAAAAGTATCAAATCTAACTAAATCCATCACGGTTTTCTATCAAGGAAGAATTTGTATGATTAAAAACAACTAGGTCATAGGTTGCATTCATTAATACATACTGTGTAATCATTGTAATCATGTAATCATTACCCAATACCTTACCACTGTGTGTGAGTGAGAAAGGGAGGACAGAGAGAGATTGTTTGTACGTGTACTTTTCATACATTTCTGTCAGGATGAAGTACATGTAGACAGAACCCAATGTTTAAAACTCGAAAAATTTCCAAGCCAGACAGCCGGACTGTTAACTTTAAAAATTACCAGTCCGGATACAAACTTACCTGTCCGGTTTTCAACAATGAAAAAACTCCTGTTTCTGAATACTTTAGTTTTCTGTTTGTAGGCATCGCAATGAACAACAAAGCACTAACAGGCAATGCACCGAGTTTAGGTAAACTGAAAGTACATGTGTTGTGATTGGTTATTATAAAATGAACTGTCCAATCATAAATAGTTTAACATAATTATCAAAATACCTTAAACACCTCAAACTGATGACAAGAGAACCTGGCTGATATTATGAAATATTTACTGTTAATGGTAAAAACATCTACCAGACCAACGGACAGGCTACTTTTGAAATTTGACCGTCCGAGATGAAAATAGACAGTTCCGGACGGTCGGGCAGGCGAGAATTTTAAACGCTGCAGAAGCCAAAACTAAGTGGAACATGCAAATACAATAAACATATTCTGATGTCAGTGCCTTGGGTATTTAACATTAATGTGCAGTAGTACTACCCAAGCATTATTTCTCTTCCAGTGATCGACCTAAAGAGGAAGTATCCGAATCCCAAAGAACTTGTTACAGACTTATTGAGGCCATTGGTAAACTCGAGTGATATCCAGGCACAAAGCACCGAAGTTTATTCCGAAACTCAACGGACAATACTGGAAGGCAAAGATTAAGGTCAACTGGCCTTACACTTTGACCTTCACAGGCGTCCACAGCTGTGTGACCCAAGCAGAAGAGAATGCATATCTGATAGCATGCAAGTTGTACAAGGTTAGTCCAGGGTGGAATAGTCCCTTGTACTCTCTGCCTGTTGATAGTGCAAGGGAAAACTGCTAAACTCTAAAGCAGAAAAGGTCCCTTGCACCCCGTTCTAGTTTTTCGATTCATCCAACTCAGGGAAATATGACGGTAATAGCACTAAGGTTGTTGTATCTTCCATACTTCAACATAAACCCACAATAGTTAGAGCTCTGGGACAATAATCTAATAAATAGGGTTTCACTGGGACAATAATCTGATAAACAGGGTTTCACAGGGACATTAATTCTGATAAAGAGGGTTTCATGAGGTCAATGTTCTGATAAACAGAGTTTCAAAGGGCAGTAATTTGGATTAACAGGGTTTTACTGGGACAATAATTCTGATAAACAGGTTTTCACTAGGACAATGTTCTGATAAACAGAGTTTCAAAGGGCAGTAATTCGGATCAACAGGCTTTCACTTTGACAATAATTCTGATAAACAGGGTTTCACTTTCACTGGGACAATAATTTGGATTTACAGGGTTTCACTAAAAGTGTTGGTAAACATTTTCACAGGAACTAGAGGATGTCTTCATAAACAAGAGATAGCTCAAGTGAGAATTAAGACATTCTATATTGAACAGTTGACATTCTGTACCTAACCATGTTCACAGAGTGTCGGACTGCTGTACACAGACAATGACAACATCGTACATGCTGCCTCGCAGGACCACATTCTGCAGCTGCTGGACCAGCTTGCCAAGAAGAACATCTTCGGGGCAGCTGACATGACAAGGGATGTTTACCAGCTGGAGACCTGCCAGGGGAGGAGGAAGGACGGAGATGTTGTGTGGACATCCAGGATGACCGTACCGTGGCCCGCAGAAGTTTACAGTGACGGCAACTGGGCTGACAAAGCAATCCTCCATCTACATTGCCTGTCTGATGGCATGCACCAAACTGAAGGTGAAGGTCACTTAGCACTGAATACACTAAAGATAAATGTAGAATATTTGGTGCATCTTGTCAAATAATATGCATTCTGACACCGTGGTGTAAATGTAATCCCAAATATAACGTGTTACATTTGACCACTTTCTAAATGGCACTGTGTATTCATAGCTTTTGGCCGTGGGAGCCGTGCCAATTTGCACTTGTCAGAGTGGTACACAAAGTCTGTGATCTGACCAGTTGTCAGACTTCCATTCTTATGGAAGCCGTGCTGGCTGAGTGGGTTAGATGACTGACTTTAAGTGCTGGAAATTAGGTGCCTGACTGAGAATGTGGGTTCGAATCCCGAATGAAACTCAACCCAACAAAAGTAATAGAATCTGTACTTTAGGCCAGACCAATTATATATCTTGTTTTACTTTTATTATTTAAAAGGAATATTACTTTGACTGGTGATTTTTTGTTTCTACCCTCCTGCCTTTAGGTTTTCTGAGGACAAAAATCCGGAATACAAGAAATAGAATTGGTCTGGCTTTACTATGAAAATGTAATCCCAAATTTAACATGTCACAAATTTAGTACAAAACACTTGATTGGGAATTAAACTCACACAGTGATGCATGCATTGAAGTTGACTGAAACTTTATTATTAAAACATAAAAAACAGAAGAAACTTAGAACATTTTTTACTTGTAGTGTAGCCATGTTAAAGAATCCTCTTTTTAAAGAAACCATATACACTGTCAATGCCAGGATTCAATGTACACAGAGCACGATTTAAGGAAATAAAACCTATTTTCATCTGGTGCAACCTTAGGTAATAACCTTGTTGCACCAGACAAAAACAGGTTGCACCAGCTACTCAATGTACAGTTATACATAATGCTTGAGTTTTTTTGTTGTTGATTTAGAACATCATTATAATGTAATAATTCTTTGTCTGACAAGATCATTTTATCTTATTTCATGAAAGTTCCTGACATGAACAATAACAGTCATTCAGTCACTGTCCGTGTAGTCGCCAGAGTCACTGCTCCAAGCCTGTACCACATCATTCTGTCTTAAAGCTGAAGTCAGTGTTCTTTGAGCAGCAACATATTAACATTCACTGGGTTAAGTTGGTATAAATATGAGGTTGTATTTTGTAGTTTCAGGTTGGAGTTTCAAGTTCTAATTGCTTATATCGAGCCCTGGTAGGATTAAGGACTAATATTTCAGGGTACTGTTTCAGCTTCTTCATCTGATAACGGCCAAAAATAACCTATTTGAAAACATCCACCCGAAGTACACCCCTCTCCCGTCCACACGTGTGAGAGTCCAAGACTTTGATCCCCACTACCAGATCTACGTGGACGCTTCGCTGATTGGCTTCGGAGCGTATCTCCTCACAAAGACCGACAACAAAGTTCGATGGATGTCTGAATCCTGGACTGATCACTTCAACGCAGCTCTTCCATGGGGAGACAGAAAACATTTTGATTCTTCCTTCTACGAGTTCTACGCTCTCCTCACAGCGTGTTACACATGGAAACACAAGTTTGTCGATAAACGAGTACTGTGCTGGACGGACAACCTCCAGGCCGCCACAGTGGTCAACTGCCAACTGACCGGTTTACCTCTGATTCTACAACCTCAGTACGGCAAGTTGTTCCAGATGATGGCCAATATGTGTCAGAAGTACAACATTTGCCTCAAGGCATCACACATCTACCGTGTTGATAACGTCGCTGCAGACTTTCTCTCCAAGGTCCAGATTGACAAGTTCAAAAAAGTCTTCCCTGAGGCTGAGATAAAGTCAAAGAAAACCAAGAAACTGCTTTTCTTGAAGCCGATTGTGCCACATGTTCCTGCCAAGAAGGACAAATCTTGATATGACTTAAATTATAGTGATTTTGTTATATATGCTATGTATACGCTTGTTGAACATTCTGGGAGAGTGCATGAAAGATGATTTTTGAGAATATACTGTTAATAAAAAGCCTGCTAGGAACGTCTTTTCCTACATTCAGGTGTTGCTGTTTATTCCAGCAGTAGTCCTGTATGTCCATTACGTTCCAGTCTTCAAGTCATAGAGTTACCTAGACAGGGGTAGAGATTAGCAATTCAGTTGGTTGAGATTTTAAGTTTTGACCCAAAGTTGACATGGTGAAAGACCTACTTCAACTTTTGCCTGCGCTTTGTATGCATCCTGCTTTCTCACAGTGGGACCTGCTTTCAAGTGAGACCTGCTAAAAACTTTTACATTTCAATTGTAAAACCTACTTGGAGGTTTTACATTTTCACTGTAAGTCCTACTTGGAGGTTTTATATTTGCATTGTAAGACCAACTTGGAGGTTTTACATTTGCATTTATTTGGAGGCCTTGTAAGTCCTACTAGGAGGTTTTACATTTGCATTGTAAGTTCCACTTGGAGGTTCTATATTTGCATTGTAAGACCTACTTGAATGTCTTACATATGCATTTTAAGCCTTTCTTTGGGGTTGATTTGAAACGTTAAAGCTGCAGTTTACTTTCAAAATGTAAAATCTGCTGATAGCTTTAACATTATAATTGTAAGACCTGCCTTGAGGTTTAACAGATGAATTATATGTACAACCTAAGACCTATTATACCTCTAATGATTTCTTAATCTTTAAAAATCACAATTGTTTCCATATTAAATTCCCAGGACATGAACCCAGCCTGCTACCTCACATATCACATTTAAATTAGTATTGTAACCCAGTGTCTTTCCACTGAGGCAGGTGATGGAGTGAGTGAGTTTAGTTTTACACTGCTTTTAGCAATATTCCAGCAATATCACGGCGGTTGACACCAGAAATGGGCTTCACACAGCAGGTGATGGAAGGGTGTCCAGTCTTACATATCACATGCAGTGCATGGTGTTTCTCTTGCCTGTTGTTAAAAAAATTCATTTTATACAAGACGACTATTGTTTTCACTGTAAACTATTGTATCCCAATTTGTATATTCATTATCCCCCGTCACGCGTTTAGCGCGAAGCGGGGGATATAGTATTAGGCTCCGTGCGTCCGTACGAATTGGAATATCTTAAGAACCGTTGACTGGATTTTTTTCATATTTGGTACATAGGTTCATCACAGTAAAAGGCAGGTCCCAGTCAGGTTTGGTGACCTTGACCTTCATTTCAAGGTCACAAGGGGACTTTAGCGTTTTACCTGCACGTTAAGCTATCTCAAGAACCATTCACTTGATTTTCTTCATATTCAGTACAATGCTTTATCTAGGGAAGGCGCAGAGCCCAGTCGATTTTGGTGACCATCACATAATTTTCAAGGTCATCCATGACACATGTTGAAAATTTCAGCATGTTAACCCGCATGTTAAGCTATCTCAAGAACGGTTTCCTGGATTTTCTTCATATTTAACTACAAGCTATATCTAAGGAAGGCACAGGGCCCAGTTGATTTTGGTGACCTTCACATAATTTTCAAGGTCATGGCGACACTTTGAATATTTCAGCATGTAAACATGCATGTTAAGCTATCTCAAGAACCCTTCACTGGATTTTGTTCATATTTAATACCAAGCTTTATCTAGGGAAGGCGCAGGGCCCATTTAATTTTGGTGACCTTCACTTAATTTTCAAGGTCACAGAGACACTTTGAAGATTTCAGCATATTAACCTACATGTTATGCTTGTCAGCGATACCGCAAGAGCCATTCACTGGAGTTTCTTCTTATTTGACAAGCTTCATCCAGGGAAGGCGCAGGGCCCAGTCGATTTTGGTGACCTTCACTTAATTTTCAAGGTCACAACGACACTTTGAAGATTTCAGCATGTTAAATTTCTTGTTAAGATTGTCAGCGAGATATCTCAAGAACAGTCCACTGGATTTTCTTCATGGACTTTCAAGACTTCCCTTGAATGTTTTTCAATAAGCAATTTCTTTATTACTATTTTTGCATATTTCATACACTAAGACAATTCATGTCAAGGTCAAAGTGTGTCTGAAAATATTTGTGTGTTTGAACAACTACAGAGCAAGATATCAAGAAAGGTTGACTGGTCATGTTTTTGTTGACATTTAACTTTATCTTAAATTGCGACCTCCACTTTCATTACTCTTTTAAGTTTGATTTGATAATTTGCGGCAGGGGATTATGTCACCTTAGTGACAATGCTTGTTCTTGTATTTCTTACATTTACATTCATAAAGTTTACCCTCGCTCCAGGTTATACATTTTCAACCAAAATGGATGAGTGTTTTTAGTATAACATAATGTATACAAACAGTCCAAGTTTCAAGAGTGACTAAACTGCATGAAGTAACCTTTCGTTTAAGAACTTTAAGATTTTTTTGTTCCCTGACCAGTGGATCCCTGTGCTTTTTAATTACCATTCTCCACTTCCTGGGAAGTATACAGCCCATGCTGCCTATGGGCACTAGAGCGTTTTGACACCCACTTTACACATCAGGTAACTCTTCCATGCTTGGTGAACAGAGGTGCATTTTAACTGAGTCACGTGCCCAGGATGCGAAGTTTTGATACTCATAGTTCTGTGTCTATACATATTCATGTTTCCACAATCTGGTCCTCTACTGTCTCATGAGAGGGTTCTTTTGAGTGCACAGAGTGAGTATACCACAGGGGCTTGTAACGCAAAATATGGTCTCAAGGTTTATATTGTCACCGACAGGGTCTTACCACTATATAGTAGCATATACCTGGCTGCCATTTGTTGCATTACAAGTCCCTGTGGAATAGACTTTGTTGTTTAATGTTGACACATCAATATTCCAGCTATATGGCGGCGGTCTGTAAATAATATTGAGTCTGGACCAGACAATCCAGTGATCAACAGCATGAGCATCGATCCACGCAACTAGGAAACGATGACATGTGTCAAACAAGTCAGCGAGTCTGACCACCCAATCCCGTTAGTTGCCTCTTACAATAAGCATCAATTAGAATTGAAGATCAATTCTAACCAGGATCTTCACAGGCAGTACTTGAAGATCAACATTTAGTAGTTTTTGACTGAATACTTATTTATGTACCTTCAATTTCAAAGCTACTTGTATTCGATTTCTACACATTGCAGGAAACACACAATATCATATATTCATGAATCTTTATTCACAAATAGGTGAGATACAGTGTACAATTCTTAGATGTGGCAAAAATATGTCTTGTCTTCCTAGCAGTAAAAAAACCCTTCATGTAACAATATTAATCTGAGATAATACAATTTTGCCATAATATTACAGCTGGAAACTAAATAGCACTGTATGTTTAACATATGGATAGATTGCCATTGACATCTTAACATTGACATGTCATAAATTACATCGTTCCGATTTTTGGTACTTGATATCATAAGCTGCTATAGTTGATAGTAATGTAATATTTAGCTCTTTTTTTCTATGCAGAATGACCACATTTATAGCTCAGTGTGTGTCATGATAACAGCTAATCAGACGTGAAAATAAGGATATTATTGGCAAATGTCTTCTAGTTTTCAATACAACCATGTTTTGCGAAGAAGCTGAAAGCATTAATTCTCATCATGAAATATTGCTCTTTACATCAGATCTTTATCTTGAAAAGCTGTTGACTTAGCAATTAAAGAAGATTTACAAAGAAAACATTTGCATAGACAAATCTCGACTCCTCGATACTGAAACAGTTCCTATTGTTATTTGAAAACAGAGCAATGTCCGAACTTGTTGGCAGGTTTGGACACAGATTATCATTGCTTTGTTGTTGTCAGATGGACTAGTTCTATCACAGACAATCAACATGGACTTAAAGACAATGGGACATTCTTATACATGTATGTACAAAATTCAGAGTTCATCCAAAGACACATTAACTTATAAACAGTATCTGTACAAAAACACATTGATGTCAATCAAATGTCTGATCTCAAACAGGTAGCAGACGTCTTCAAACGCATTCGCAGACGTCAATACATTCTGTTCGTCTGTGCCTGTGTGTTGACAGAGTGGTCAAGCCACATCGCCCTGTTGGGTTTATGATGTTGGCTGTCATAATGGCGCCACACTAACGCCCTCTGTCTTCACACAAGCGAGTTATCTCCCCTGCTGATGGTCTCTCAAACTCCAAATACCTACATGTCCTGCATCTAATACCATAGATGTTATACTGAACGTTTGTGCTTGAGTAATTTGTCTACTCATGAAACAAATAACAGTAACAAATCAGAAAAACTGCCTGAATATATTAACTCTAATTAATATTAACTTGTTTCTGTTCAACTATTTCCTTCCAATCTAGTGCATTGCAGTCCTTCTTTTTGAAAAAAGATGTTTTATAGCTGCGTTTAATTGGAACTGTTATCCAGATACTATAAAAACTCCTACCACTGTCTCATCATTCAAATAACAGCTAAAGACAAACTTGTTTGATCAATACTACAAGTTCAAGTGATAAAATTTCTGCTTGTGCACAGAGCACATCATAATTGTAAATTGCTGTGCTCTATAAATGTATGAATTATCATCATTATCATTAGTATCAAGTGAATATGTTCAGTAAGCCAGGTTTCTGATGCAGTCTGCAGGTACAGTGTTAGGAGCGAGAGACACTAGCAGCAGGGAATTAACCTCAGCAGCCAGATACGGCGGAGTCCTGCCCGCTTCTTTTCGTCACATCCATCGTCGTGAAAATCTGAAAACAAAAATAAATAGCTTGATTAATTGTTCTGGTTTCCTAGGTATGTGTTTGTAAAACAATTAATTTGACAGGTCTACACTGCTCCTAGCAGTATCATGGCAGGGTACATCAGAAATGGGCTTCACGCATTGTACCATGTGGGAAATCCAACCCAGGTCTTCAGTGTGATGAGAAAATGCTTTAACTACTAGGCTACCCTTCCCCCAATCTGACATTTATAGAAAGTGAGTTTTCAAAGAGTGATTCGTGGTTTGGAGAATTTGGAGTCACGTGTCGTCTGCCTCACCTCCCCAAATTCTTTATGAAACTGTAAAACTCACTGAATGTGTGAAAGTTAAGTTGATTCTTCTTGAAAATAATGCCACACTCGACTATATTCATGCAATATGGTGACAGAAATTACAATGCACTTGCCTCATTTCAAACCTTCAGAGGGCCTCAAAACACTGATAACAAGCAAGCAGCCCAAGCTTACTAGTATAACCAGAGACCATATAATAGAGGGACGGCCCTCTAGCCAGTGCGCAAAACCATCAGCGCTACGGCTTGTACTGCGCAGCCTATCCGGAAGCTGGAAAAAACGTGTGTTGACTTCAGTCATCGATTTCGCGTATTTTCATTGCAAAGGTAAGATTTGATTTTTTTCATGTATTCTCATGCATATACTTACATTTGCAACAGTGCATTAGAGGTGTATTAGGGGTGCTAAAGCATATATTTGTCTTTGTATTTGATGAATACTGTAATGTGTGCTCGTCGTTCTGTGAGAACAATGGCGGAGGTGTAAAACCGGCAAAAGTGCCGATTTTGATTTTCAATAACGGATACTAATTCTCAATGCAAATCCTTAGTTACCGGGGTGTAATGAAAGAAAATAAGATAAAGATTTGTATAGGGGCATTTATAAGTCTGTGGCGTTTCGCGTCATTCCTTATTTTGGCTCATGCAATGCGATGAAATATGATGTTTTCCGAAATATTTTACTCCACAACACTTGATTTTCGCTCGCTTTCACAAGAACAGCTTATTACTAGCATGTTTAAAATAAACATGTGAACATTCACGGCGATTTCCTCTTTTGCGTGGTACACTTTTTATATGGATACGATCGGTATTTTATTTTTTATGATTTTTGGCGTAAACCCATATTTGCATCGTATTACTGAACATTTCAATTATCATGTAGCAGACGACATAACATTCATTTTGTTCATTAATATAACGTGATGTAATTTTTAGAGTAAAATTGATATTTTATACTTATCCTGACTCATGCTCTTTTGCTTGTCTTCTTCTTCTTGCGAACTTAGTGGAAACACTTGTATCTCCCTAATTGAAGCTCCCTTCAATGTAAAATCACTAATTAGTACTCACCACGAGTTACCACCTTTCCACAAGCGCGGGAAACGAGGGCGCCACCTTCACCCATGTGCCTCACTCTCTCCTCATATACTGAGCCCAACATTTGAATTTACAGGGAAATCCAAAGTGTTATGTGGGGAGGATGGGAGGGCTGACCTCATGAGTCAGGATAAGTATAAAATATCAATTTTACTCTAAAAATTACATATTTTTCCTTATCCTGACTCATGCTCTTTTGCTTGTAGAATCCTACGGAACGGAGGTGGGAGTAATAGAATACTTTGGATTTTAATAATTAGTGATTTGATCTGTGATGATTGTAATAACCCTATGGGAACTTCATAAAGGCACTGAACTGATGAATTCCTGCTGCTAACTTATCAGCTGCCATATAAAGGTTATTACAATGTACTTATTATGATAAAGTATATATAACATTAATACAATGCTTAAGACTGATAGACTTAAATTTGTTAATATGCTAGTATAAACTCCTTAGAGTTTGTTAGCTAAAATACTTTAAGATATAAACATAGTACTAAGCTTAAGATATGATTAAACTTAAGCTAATTATATAATAGCAAAACTCTTTAGAGTTTGTTAGCTAATATACTTATATGATATAGATATAATGCTGAGCTTAAGATATGAATAAGCTTTGGCTACATATATAATAGCAGAACTCTGTAGAGTTTGTTAGCTAATATATTTTTATAATATGAGTATAATACTGTGCTTACGATATAATTAACTTAAGCTACATATACAATAGCCAAAAACTCTGTAGAGTTTATTAGCTAATAGATTTATAATGTAACTATAGTACTAAGCTTAAGATAAATTTAGACTTAAGCTAAATGTATATAGTAAAAAACTCCTTAGAGTTTATTAACTAATATACTTTTATGTTATAAACATAGTACTGAGCTTAAGATATGATTAAACTTAAGCTATATATATAATAGCAAAACTCTGTCGAGTTTTGTTAGGTAATACATTTTATAATGTAACCATACTGCTTAAGATATGATGAAACTTAAGCTAATTGTATAATAGCAAAAAAACTCTTTAGAGTTTGTTAGCTAAAATACTTATATGATATAAACCTAGTATTGAGCTTATGAAGGAAAACTTAAGCTACATATATAATAGCAAAAACTCCGTAGAGTTTGTTAGCTAATACATGTTATAATTTAACCATAAAGCTTAAAATATGATGAAACTTAAGCCAAATATATAATAGCAAAAACCTCTTTTAGAGTTTTGATAGCTAATATACCTACATGATATAAACATAGTACTGCGCTTAAGATATGAATAAGCTTAAGTTACATATATAATAGCAAAAACTCTGTACAGTTTGTTAGCTAATACATGTTATAATGTAACCATAAAGCTTAAAATATGATGAAACTTAAGCCAAATATATAATAGCAAAAACCTCTTTTAGAGTTTTGATAGCTAATATACCTATATGATATAACATAGTACTGCGCTTAAGATATGAATAAGCTTAAGTTACATATATACTACCCATCAAAAGTTTAGACTCACCTAAAGCACTCACTATATGTTATACATATACATATGGTTACATCGAAGATGAATTTCTCCACTAACTTGGGGGAGCCAACTGCAAACTTTATGTAGATGAATTGTAAGAGGATCATGAATCAAATTGCTAAAAAGCATGTGCAAATATCGTTCATGTGAACAGCTGCGTTTTGGTGTAAAGTTTTCTTAAGAATTCGCCAATTTTCACTGATTTTCATCATTTACTGAACTCATGACAATAATCTGTTCAACGTTACGAATTTGTTTTACAATGCATTAGTTCATGTGTCAACAGTACCCTTAAACTGAACTGAATATTTTGCAAAATCAAGTTTAGAACAGTTGACTGAAATAAGAGGCTACATTTACACTAGTGAGTCTAAACTTTTGATGGGTAGTATATAATAGCAAAAACTCTGTAGAGTTTGTTAGCTAATACATGTTATAATATAACCATATTGCTTAGAATATGATGACACTTAAGCCAAATAGCAAAAAACTCTTTAGAGTTTGTTAGCTAATATACTTATATGATATAAACGTATTACTAAGCTTAAGATATGAATAAGTTTAAGCTACCTATATAATAGCAAAACTCCGTAGAGTTTGTTAGCTAATATATTTTTATAATATGAGTATAATACTGTGCTTAAGATATAATTAACTTAAGCTATATATATAATAGCAAAACTCTGTAGAGTTTGTTAGCTAATATATTTTTACAATATGAGTATAGTACTGTACTTAAGATATAATTAACTTAAGCTACATATATAATAGCAAAACTCTGTAGAGTTTGTTAGCTAATATATTTTTACAATATGAGTATAGTACTGTGCTTAAAATATAATTAACTTAAGCTACATATATAATAGCAAAACTCTGTAGAGTTTGTTAGCTAATATATTTTACAATATGAGTATAGTACTGTGCTTAAGATATAATTAACTTAAGCTACATATACAATAGCCAAAAACTCTGTAGAGTTTATTAGCTAATAGATTTATAATGTAACTATAGTACTAAGCTTAAGATAAATTTAGACTTAAGCTAAATGTATATAGTAAAAACTCCTTAGAGTTTATTAACTAATATACTTTTATGTTATAAACATAGTACTGAGCTTAAGATATGATTAAACTTAAGTTATATATATAATAGCAAAACTCCATTCGAGTTTTGTTAGGTAATACATTTTATAATGTAACCATACTGCTTAAGATATGATGAAACTTAAGCTAATTGTATAATAGCAAAAACTCTTTAGAGTTTGTTAGCTAAAATACTTATATGATATAAACCTAGTATTGAGCTTATGAAGGAAAACTTAAGCTACATATATAATAGCAAAACTCCGTAGAGTTTGTTAGCTAATACATGTTATAATGTAACCATAAAAGCTTAAAATATGATGAAACTTAAGCCAAATATATAATAGCAAAAACCTCTTTTAGAGTTTTGATAGCTAATATACCTATATGATATAAACATAGTACTGCTTAAGATATGAATAAGCTTAAGTTACATATATAATAGCAAAAACTCTGTACAGTTTGTTAGCTAATACATGTTATAATGTAACCATAAAGCTTAAAATATGATGAAACTTAAGCCAAATATATAATAGCAAAAACCTCTTTTAGAGTTTTGATAGCTAATATACCTATATGATATAACATAGTACTGCGCTTAAGATATGAATAAGCTTAAGTTACATATATAATAGCAAAAACTCTGTAGAGTTTGTTAGCTAATACATGTTATAATATAACCATATTGCTTAGAATATGATGACACTTAAGCCAAATAGCAAAAAACTCTTTAGAGTTTGTTAGCTAATATACTTATATGATATAAACGTATTACTAAGCTTAAGATATGAATAAGTTTAAGCTACCTTTATAATAGCAAAACTCCGTAGAGTTTGATAGCTAATATATTTTTATAATATGAGTATAATACTGTGCTTAAGATATAATTAACTTAAGCTACATATATAATAGCAAAACTCTGTAGAGTTTGTTAGCTAATATATTTTTACAATATGAGTATAGTACTGTACTTAAGATATAATTAACTTAAGCTACATATATAATAGCAAAACTCTGTAGAGTTTGTTAGCTAATATATTTTTACAATATGAGTATAGTACTGTGCTTAAAATATAATTAACTTAAGCTACATATATAATAGCAAAAACTCCGTAGAGTTTGTTAGCTAATACATGTTATAATGTAACCATAAAGCTTAAAATATGATGAAACTTAAGCCAAATATATAATAGCAAAAACCTCTTTTAGAGTTTTGATAGCTAATATACCTATATGATATAACATAGTACTGCGCTTAAGATATGAATAAGCTTAAGTTACATATATAATAGCAAAAACTCTGTACAGTTTGTTAGCTAATACATGTTATAATGTAACCATAAAGCTTAAAATATGATGAAACTTAAGCCAAATATATAATAGCAAAAACCTCTTTTAGAGTTTTGATAGCTAATATACCTATATGATATAACATAGTACTGCGCTTAAGATATGAATAAGCTTAAGTTACATATATAATAGCAAAAACTCTGTAGAGTTTGTTAGCTAATACATGTTATAATATAACCATATTGCTTAGAATATGATGACACTTAAGCCAAATAGCAAAAAACTCTTTAGAGTTTGTTAGCTAATATACTTATATGATATAAAGCAAAC